CTGATATTACTCAGGACTCAGGACTCTTTTTAGCCTCCTGTATACTTCAACTTGGGATTGTTTTCAATCAACATGTTTCTTTAATATGATATAATTCAGTCACAAGGGATTCAAAACTTCCAACAAAACGACATACAATAGTTCGAAAACCACCAGATAAACTAAAAAAAGGCCTTGGAACGGAGCAGAACGGAGGCAAGTGGTGCTCCATTTGTTTGTTTACAATTTGTAGTGCTGATGTATTGTTTTAGGACTCTAGCGGTCGGCTCATAAAAACTGAAACATTTTCACAAAATCTGTAAGGCAAATAATATTTCTCTGAAAGAACTAAAATATTCAAAAGCCAAACACCATGAAATACAGGAATCAGAACGAAAAAGTAACCCAAAAATCCAGCCTAATAACCGGCTCCTAAAACTGCGGCAAAATCAGCACTTTTCCCCGCAACTCGTTGTCCAGACGTAAATATGCGCAACGCGGCTTAGATTTCGAAGTAAGCATTTAGTCTCACCCTATGATGGCCAATAAAGGATTCCAGGACAATTCTTCTTATGGCATTTCTTCGTATCGCAATTCTTCGTCTGCAAATCTTCGTCAGGGCATTTATTCGTATCGCATTACTCTGTCTCGCATCAGGGTATATGAAAATCGGCTCGCATTTCTTCTTCAACGCAAATATATGCAAGAGTAAGCATTGAGGGACAAATAAATGCACCGACGAAGATTTGTAGACGAAGAAATGCGGACGAAAAATTGTGCTACGAAGAAATGTCATGCGAGGATTCGTTCGGGTACCATGACATTTATGTGATTTCAAAGTCAAGGTTCACAGCTGATCTGCTAAATCAAGCCAAGAATCCAAACTATCAAAAAAACTATAAATACTTGTTTGTCTGTCACAGAGGTCTCAAGCAATATAAGGTTGACATTGTTGAATCAAAAATCTACTGCCACAACTCACATCTCCTGCCTTAGTTTATCATTGCTGTTTTAACTTGCTTTCAAGAGAAACAGAAGCCAGTATCTGATATCACTTTCAGATGATTGTTTCAAGATCTGAGTTCAAATGGAAATAAAAGCAAGATCAAGATGAAACAGGGATTATTGCTGTTAAAGTAGTTTGGCCATGATACAACAAGCACATAAATCATTAGCCAAATCAAATACTGGTTGGTTTGTCAAGATGTTTGTTGTCTGTCGTCTGTCGAGCTGCTATGAACACTGAACGCTCTCACTCTTACTTTAAAGAGAGTAGTTTAAGTTGAATGGTAGTGAGCTGTAATTAGACAAAGCAGCTATTCAGTGCTCACATCAATCCAGGCTAGGAAATGGCATCAACTGTGGTGGGAGGAAGCAGGCTCGGCAGCCCTATGTTGTAAACTTCTGTTGTGTCTTGTGTTTGATCAACTGATGTTTTCTGCTCTGTTTTGTGCAGTGATAGTAGCACGTAACTGCATGCTTGTCAAATTATGTGAATAAACGAATTCATAGCATTGCATTTTTCTCTCCATGCAAGGAACAAGTAAGATGTTGTAGAAAATGTAATAGAGGGCTGCATTGCTGATTTTGCACTTTATCAGAGCTTTATTTAGAATTGCTTTCCTGAAAGCTACACACAGGCCACAGCACTGAAATTCACAATGTCATAGCTTTTGGCAGAAAAAAGAAAAGACTTACCTAGGTAAAATTGGCTGAAAGTATGGCAGAGCAGGTCTTGATGCGTATGCCCATCCGTGTGCTTGCCGAAGCCGAACTGACTGCAACACATTAACTCTGACCCACCATGGTGGCTGGCATATCCTGAACTTTCACCACTCTAAACAAGACAACTTTCAGCCCTCAGCATTGTATTAAAACACTGTACATGACACTCAAAATTTGTTTCAGTGCCATCCACGGACAACATCAGTCGCCATTCACCAGGCCAGTAAAAACAGAATAGATAATAGCTTCAAACCCATGTAGTCAGAGTTACTAGGTCTGCACCTCAAAACAAAATCCAGGTGACATTTACCGCGCCAGTAAAAAACAGGTACTTAGGTAACGTAACAGCTTCAAATCTGGTAACATGTTAATCAGACTTTACACTTCCATATTTACATGGAATAATATGATACCAAACAATAGTGCAACCATTCTGGACAACAAAAGCGTATGATAAAATTAATTTAGAATACTTTGGCAGCATGATTTACGAGCACAGGCAGGTGTTACCTACCAGCCTTCTCAATGCTCGTAAAACCAACATTGTAGTTTTGATTTTACCTTACATGATAACACACTTGGCTGCAATGGCACATTTAATTTAATACTGTGAAAAGACCAGTTATAACCACTTCACAAGCACAATTGCACCTCATGCCGACATCCTTTTCCAAAGACAGTCAGCAGCGTCTTTCGTCAAAACTGGAAGATCAATCCCCTTTCAACTGTTAACATCAAAATATTTCTTCATGGTGTGATCTCCATATGGAAACCTTGCAGGAAAAGAATTAATGTCAATTGTCAGCTCTTCAAATTTCTTTGGACTTTAACTTGCACTACCATATCCAGTTTGCTTTGATATTTTGTTTTTTATTCCATGTTGAAGTTGAACACCAAGCTCCAGATATAGCAGGCAGCTTGATCATCCTCGGCCTTGGTATAATACCTATCAGTCCAAGTTCCAGTGGTGGGTATCTTCTAATATTCAAATTAAAATGAAAAGCAATAGGCTTTCTCAGCGCCGACGACGGATTTCACGTTGATAAAAAATGCAGCTCAAGGTCAGCAAAACTCGGGTTCAAGGAATGGCGGGCGTTGAAATGACTGCTGACGTCATCAAAAAACCGCTAATGGTTAAGAGATAGGGACTACGCTGGTCCCACCCTGCAAGTAAAGGGAAGAAATTTCTTGAACACCATAAAGCTGCGGGGGTTGCGACCAGGATAAATGGTGGTTTCTGAGCCTGGCCGCAAACTTGGCTATCTCAACTCAAAACTAATGTTAAGCCAAGATATCTTGGCTCGCTACGCGTCGCGTTGGCCATAAAATGATTAAGGAGAAAATTTGGGACCGATTGGTGTTTGTCCCGTGTTGATCGGACGTCTAGAAGCTTAGATATTCGCGAAAAACTTGTTGAACTTGCCAAAATACCTGCCAGCTTGCTGTATCACTTGCTACTTGGTAATGTACTGAAAATTTGCTAATGTACTGAAAACCTGCCAAAGGTATTTACTTGCCTAAATACCGCAAAGAACTTGTTCTAAAATACTTGGTATTTACTTGCCTAAATACCGCAAAGAACTTATTCCTTTCCGACGTTTAAATCAGACGTCTTAAGACGACCAAAGACTTTCCAAATTTCCCTTGGTCTCAGTTCGTATTGATTTGTTTTCAATGAATTGTTTGCAATTTGAGTTATGTATAATTCCAATTCGTATTTTGTTTTACCTACCTATTTGAGTTATGCTTAATTCCAATTCGTATTTTGTTTTACCTACCTACCATTTCTCATTTGTTTTTGGCGTCCTACCTATTAAGCGATTACACTTACGTTAAAAGAGCCGGTGGGTGGTTATAATGCAATACCCTGCACGGTGAACAGCTTGCGAGTTTTGCACCGGTGCGATTTCTGGGGCTTATCGCTGACTGAAAAGGGTAAATACAGTAAATACAGATGGTTGTGTTGGATCCCTTTGCTTTTGTCCAACATTCAGCGTTGGAATTGTGGCTTTATCGTCTCTCTTATTAAAGTTATTTAACTTTTTGTAGATTCGTCAGGTTTGAAGCGACGCGCGGGGCGATATGCCTCTGGCGGCCGCACGCGGAACTACCGCGCACGGCGGCTCTGGCCGGACGACTGCACAGGTGGCAGCACCTGCCCACATTGCACACCGCCGCCGGGCCGGCCGGTGGAATTTTCCAGCCGTCGGCCGGCCGGCATGTTTATTAATCCCACCCAGAAATGACAAACAAAGCCTCTGATTGGCCAGTTTTGGCTGACAGACGCAGAATATTTGTCAACCATAGAATACTATGCTTTAGCACTTTTTCAATAATGACGCATACGTTACATTCACAGGTTAGGGCAGCTAAAATATTGTAATGGATCTTACGTGTTAAATATAACATTTTTTGGAAGCCCGTACAGATTGTTTCTAGTGAATTAGGTGTCACAAAGTATCAAAAGAAATGATTGTTTGCTACTTACTTAAGAACTAAGGCTTTCAGCCACTAACATCCGCCCGACAGTCTCCAGAATCCTGCGTACGGGGACACCGCAGTCTCGGTTTCTTATGTTATCGCAATGGGGAAAAAGTGAAATTTTAAATGAGTCAGTATCGTGTAAGTACGGATGCTTTCAAAACTAAATACCTTTCAATTCAAATTCCAGAATATCCTTTCGCGGAAATAGCCCTTCTCAGCCTGTCGGCCCATTCTCTAACGCTACAAGCCTGAACAGTGAGCGTCTCATGCGTTGCTCACGTATCGCGATAAAAAGGACGGTGTCATATAATCAAATGAACTTTTCTTATGCATAGAGCATTTGAAACCTCACACCAAACGCCTCCCTTCCTTGTTTTCTACTGCTGCCTTTCACATACCTACCCAATGACCGTTCCCTCGACGTTCCTTATCGACTGCCTCACATTCAACGGCCATATCCCACCTACGCTGAAAACCAATCGGAGGCACTTTCAATCGTTCCTTGAATAAAACTGCTACCTACACGCATTTAGAGGAGAACGAAGCCCCGAAAAGGCATGCATAAAACGATCGGTTTTGGCCCCCATGGAATAAGCCAGCAGGTAACATCATATTGATTGAAGAACATTTTCGAGGACATGATATCTATTAGATATTATTTTGAAAAGGTATTGTGAACATAACGTCCGCGTATCGCAGCTCTGAATCTGCTGGTGTCAGTCCCATGCAGCAGCCACCAGACCACCGCCCCGCCGCCAGCCGTTCGCTGATCATACAGGCCGACTGTCCCAGTGTCTCATCAAACGATCACAGCTGACTCAGTATTTATAAAATGCCAAACAAAAACAGACACGCAATATTGTAGATCATCATGTAGATCTCTTTCAGTCATGCGCGTGGAGATATATCGGTAGTTTTCCTATCACAGATCACACTGAACAGAGCAAAAGCGTAGACACGCAGCAATAAATAATGCATTATCAAGTACACCGATCGATGCATCGTGGAATACACCGAATAATATATCACTGCTTTAACGTTCCCCCAGGTGGGGTGGGTGGGGGCGTTTTTGGCCGCACCTGACAATTTAGTGCTTGCATAAATAAAACGACACGAAACTTAGTATAGCTTATGTATAATGCATCGATTCGCATCATTTGTGAAAAAAATGTAACAAACCCCATGTCACCTAAGGTCAGGTCAGGTCACCATGACGTAGAAGTTTGAAACTCGAGCTATTGCATGAGAGAATCAGTACCAACATCCAGAATACATATCTTTAATTTTGATATCGGTGACCTAGGGTCAGGTCAACTTTGCGACGTCTCCAGTTTCAGTCAGTATGAGGAACTCGAAATGCTCTGCTTTTGAAACAAAAACACTCAAACATCGGGATATATCGTATGCTCCTGAGGTCATCTCAGGTCATGTAACGTCTCCAACAGTTTATTTTTGTACATTGATTTTAGATGGAACGTGGCCAGAGCGCTAAAAACATCATAATCATAGGCGGCGGAACGGGGAGGGCACCGGGGCACAGTGCCCCCTTTGATTCTGGCATTTTAACATTAGCCCTATGGGCGTTGCATGGAAAGAATGGGACCAAAACTCGGCAATGCCCCCTCAATTGAAGGTGTTCCGCCGCTACTGATGTTAATCTCAATCTCAATGTAAGGAATCGACTGACATGCAATATGGCATTTTCTGCAACTTTGACCTGAGGTCAAATTTATTAAGTTGACCTTGTTAGGTCAACAAGACGAGAGAAACGCAGTGCCGGTAAAATCAACGTAATAAAAGGTTAGTATCAAAAGTTGTAAAAGAAAAGACGATTTCCGAAGCACGCCGAATGTTCAGTTTTTGCCCTTTGGAGGCTCAAACTAGTTGACCTTAGCTAAAATCTGAGAATCTGAAAGATTTTCGAAAGAGCTATCGAATTCGCTTTTCCGCGGCGCTGTAGCTTCTTTGGTTCCCGAGTTATGAACCAATTTCTGAAGTTGTCAAAATCGGGAGCCAAAATTCGTCATCATTTTACTTTTGGTGACCTCCAGTGACCTTAGCAATGACCTGATCGAAAATGACCTGTATGATTCTGAAGAAAAATAGCGAGCTATATATTGATTTTACTGCGTCTTTCCAGCTTTGTTACATTCCAAGATAACCTGGTGTGGCCCAATACGCCTCCCCTCCTTCCCCCCCCCCCCCCCCCCCCACCACCACCACCAAGTTGGCTGAGGGCCACCCGGGCGCGGGTTAATAACATGGCGCAACAGGTTTTGTTATCAACTTGTCCTTTTCACACATAGGCGACACTACATATCACAACCAACGCCTATCACCAACCTGGTGGTGGGCTTTGGCCAGCGATCGCCGATCGGGGCCAACGCGGGCTCTTACTCGTCCGCAGTCAGCACGAATGATGAATTACAGCTGCTCCAGACCGGCCACTTCAATCTAGCGTGTAATCCCCAGTCCACATCAGAACCACTAGTGAAACTCTACTGAGTGGGCCAACTACACTGCATCTTTGACCTCCTTTGCAGCTCTGGCTTTTCAGAATTTGAACAGCCTTCTCTTTCCCCCCTTCTGTGCTGATGAATGATGATCCTTTGGAAACCTGAAAAAAGACAGTACAGAGAGATGAAACTGTTTTGCTATGGGTCTGTTCCAGTCGCACTTCCTAACACATCTAAACTCCTCCAAGAGCAAGATAGAGGAGGTTGGAGCAGGGCCCTTCTTGTCTTTGTAGGGGCGAAAGCTGCCACTGGAACAGGGAAGCAATCTTGGAGGAGTTAAGAGGTGTTAGGAAGTGCGACTGGAACAGACCCTATGACAATGTCTGTGCATAGAGCGAGCAGATGGTAGAGGTGGTCGATTGGTGAGTGGAACAAATGTAAATGTCAGGAAAGCAGTCATATTTTGTGATTGGCATGATGCAGATGTTGGCCAAGCTGACCAGGCATATATAATTATCAGCTTGTTATACTATCATATTTTGTTTGTTTAACAGAGGAAATATAATGTTAAAAAGCCTTAGCCAGATGAAAGTAGATAATATAAGCTCTATAGAAAAATGTTGATGTAAGTAATGTAGGATTTGTGGTTTTTAAAGGCTAGGTAAATCTAAATGTGTTCCCTGTTCAACAATTATTCAGCATTCAGACATTGATATCAATGTACATGCATCAACATACCTGTTGTGAAGTGATTCTGGGCTGCTTTCCTGAGCAATTGATGGCCACGACTGGAATATTAAAAACACAGCTAATTTTTTCCATTTTGTTAACTATAACTGAGGATCTTCTGTGCTGAAAAAGAGATAGACAACAGACATCAGCTGATAGACATTGTACAACTCATTTGTGAAACAAGATCAATTCCATTTAGGGGGAGGTCTTGGGATAATGGTGACATGAATGAATTTCAGTTTTCACTTTTCACCAGTCCAGGTACCTAGTGACAAAATGAAATATTGTAGGAGGTATCAATGATAATGTTTCTGGTAGAAAATGCAGGCATTTTAGAATTCAGTTGAAGATTTAGATGGAGGATTTTTGGAAAATATTTGCCACAAATAACATAGGAATCTCAGAAACACAAATCAAATCTTATTTGATGTCAAAAACAAATCAAACTGTTACCATTGAACACCAAACAGCATGCTGAGTAGTCATTGACTAAGACATATGCATGTTACACATGGCTACAGTACTTTGAAATAGCTTTTATAAAATGTATGCATTCATGTAATCTGAACATGTAAATATTTCAGCTTAAACTTGTTTTACACTAAACCTGCTACGTCAAGAAAAAAATGATTAATATGAGAAGCCCAAAACAAGTTATTGAAAACGTAAACAAAGGTAACGTTACAACAAAACTGAGTCAAAACACTCAAAACTAAGTGTTTCAATGAATGCAAGATCAATGCGTGTCACACAAGCAGCTGTCCACTGTAAAGCGGTGTGGGCACAGCATGGTGAAAGCAGGAAGTGGTGCACAAAACTGAATTAAGTAGAGTGCCCGACTAACTGTATCTGCATCCCTAGTTACATGTAGGTGCTTAAAAATTTGAGCACAATCAGCCAAAATTTGACTGTGAAGGAGGCCATGCCCACTTGCACATGAGAGGTGTGCAAAAACATGCCTGTAATACCTTATGCCTAAATACATAAAGATGAAAATGTGTTGTGTCTGTGTGGTTAGTGGCATGACGTGACATGACTATCATCAATACCTGACAGTACAATTAGCATGATATTATCGTTATTGCAATTGTAATAAAAAATGATAAATTGAACTTTTCTTCTCACTTTCTATAGCCAAAATACCTGAGATTTTTTAATATCAAGTTTGCGTACTCCAAAATCGTAACTATTCTGCTTCCTCCAGTACCTAATAAGTTTGCACAAGACTATTACCCATTAGATGTAGGGACAATCATGACCACTTGACTAAAAAATGGTTCACTTGGTTCTTACAAGCCTGTTAACTCACTACACAAAGTGAGGGGGGCACTGCAAAAGGGCGTGGAAATCGCCACATTTGTCTCAAAATGTTTAATGCATAATAATCGGCACCAAAATATCGTCGTATTAGTATGCAATGTCACAAAAAGAAAAAGCCAACGTCATTTATCAAATATCAAAGCAAATTGGCAATATCTAGCGCAACGAAACACATAATTCAACACCTAACGAGGCCGGCCGAGTCCCCGATACCACCATGGCGACCGCTCAAGTCCAACTGGCCGGCAACTGGCCAATCAGGGAGCTTGTTTGTCATTTCTGGGTGGGATTAAAAAACATGCGGCCGGCCGGTGGCCGGCGAATTTCTCCCGGAGGGAAGCACCTCGCTCACAAAAGCACGTGAATCAGCCGCATTCCTGTGTGGCGCGCAATGCTGAAGAGATATGTGTGTACGCAGCTATCTCGCAAGCCCTAACAGGAAAAGCTCGCTGCAAAAACTCAGCGATTCAAAAAACCCGCAATCCTACTCAAATAGTATATTTAACAAGATATCTTGGCTCGCTCCGCGTCGCTTTGGCAATCAAAGTATGAGGGAGAAAATTTGGGATCGATTGGTGTTCGTCCCGTGTTAATCGGACGTCTAGAAGCTTAGATATTCACGAAAAACTTGTTGAACCTGCCAAAGTACCTGCCAGCTTGCTGTATCACCTGCTACTTGGTAATGTACTGAAAACTTGCTAATGTACTGAAAACCTGCCAAAGTACTTGGTATTTACTTGCCTAAATACCGCAAAGAACTTGTTCCTTTCCGACGTTTAAATCAGACGTCTTTAGTCGATCAAAGACTTTGCGAATTTGCCTTGGTCTCAGATAATTTTGATTTGTTCCAATGAATTATTTGTAATTTGAATTATACTTGTTCCCAATTTGTATTTTGTTTCACCTACCTATCATTTCTAACTTGTTTTAGCGTCCTACCTATTAAGCGATTACACATACGTAGAGAGAGCCGGTGGGTGGTTATAATGCAATACCCTGCACGGTGAACAGCTTGCGAGTTTTACAGCGGTGCGATTGCTGGGGCTTATCGCTGACAGAAAAGGGTAAATACAGTAAATACAGATGGCTGTGTTGGATCCCTTTGCTTTTGCCCAACATTCAGCGTTGGAATTGTGGCTTTACCGTCCCTCTTATCAAAGTTATCTAACTTTTTGTAGCTTCGTCAGGTTAGACACGACGCGCGTGACCTCTGGCGGCCGCTGGCGGAACTACCGCGCACGGCCCGCACACGGGCCTGGCGGCCGCCAGTGGAACTACTGCGCAGGTGGCAGCACCTACCCGTGGAGAAGCGGCTGGCAATCGGCCGCCCCACTCCCCACCCCGCCCCCACCCAGCTGGCCGCCAGACCGTGGGAACGACTCGGCTCAGCGCTGCCGGCCGCTGGACGGGGAAACCCCGCCCCGCCGCCCGCCGCCCAACACACTGCCGCCGGGCCGGCCGGTGGAATTTTCCAGCCGTCTCTCCGGAACGGCGGCACCCCGCTCATCTTCGCACGCGCATTCAGCGGCGGCTTGTCGATTTTTCGAGTGTCGGCTGCCGATCTCCCGAGAGCCGGCCACCTGTCAGCCGCCGCTCGGCTCCGTGTTAAGCATATGGGGACGGCGAATTTCTCCCGGAGGGAAGCACCTCGCTCACAAAAGCACGTGAATCAGCCGCATTCCTGTGTGGCGCGCAATGCTGAAGAGATATGTGTTTCCGCGGGTATCTCGCAGGCCCTAAGAGAAAAAGCTCGCTGCAAAAACTCAGCGCTTCAAAAAACCCGCAATCCTACTCAAATGGATATTTAAACAAGATATCTTGGCTCGCTCCGCGTCGCTTTGGCAATCAAAGTATGAGGGAGAAAATTTGGGATCGATTGGTGTTCGTCCCGTGTTAATCGGACGTCTAGAAGCTTAGATATTCACGAAAAACTTGTTGAACCTGCCAAAGTACCTGCCAGCTTGCTGTATCACCTGCTACTTGGTAATGTACTGAAAACTTGCTAATGTACTGAAAACCTGCCAAAGTACTTGGTATTTACTTGCCTAAATACCGCAAAGAACTTGTTCCTTTCCGACGTTTAAATCAGACGTCTTTAGTCGATCAAAGACTTTGCGAATTTGCCTTGGTCTCAGATAATTTTGATTTGTTCCAATGAATTATTTGTAATTTGAATTATACTTGTTCCCAATTTGTATTTTGTTTCACCTACCTATCATTTCTAACTTGTTTTAGCGTCCTACCTATTAAGCGATTACACATACGTAGAGAGAGCCGGTGGGTGGTTATAATGCAATACCCTGCACGGTGAACAGCTTGCGAGTTTTACAGCGGTGCGATTGCTGGGGCTTATCGCTGACAGAAAAGGGTAAATACAGTAAATACAGATGGCTGTGTTGGATCCCTTTGCTTTTGCCCAACATTCAGCGTTGGAATTGTGGCTTTACCGTCCCTCTTATCAAAGTTATCTAACTTTTTGTAGCTTCGTCAGGTTAGACACGACGCGCGTGACCTCTGGCGGCCGCTGGCGGAACTACCGCGCACGGCCCGCACACGGGCCTGGCGGCCGCCAGTGGAACTACTGCGCAGGTGGCAGCACCTACCCGTGGAGAAGCGGCTGGCAATCGGCCGCCCCACTCCCCACCCCGCCCCCACCCAGCTGGCCGCCAGACCGTGGGAACGACTCGGCTCAGCGCTGCCGGCCGCTGGACGGGGAAACCCCGCCCCGCCGCCCGCCGCCCAACACACTGCCGCCGGGCCGGCCGGTGGAATTTTCCAGCCGTCTCTCCGGAACGGCGGCACCCCGCTCATCTTCGCACGCGCATTCAGCGGCGGCTTGTCGATTTTTCGAGTGTCGGCTGCCGATCTCCCGAGAGCCGGCCACCTGTCAGCCGCCGCTCGGCTCCGTGTTAAGCATATGGGGACGGCGAATTTCTCCCGGAGGGAAGCACCTCGCTCACAAAAGCACGTGAATCAGCCGCATTCCTGTGTGGCGCGCAATGCTGAAGAGATATGTGTTTCCGCGGGTATCTCGCAGGCCCTAAGAGAAAAAGCTCGCTGCAAAAACTCAGCGCTTCAAAAAACCCGCAATCCTACTCAAATGGATATTTAAACAAGATATCTTGGCTCGCTACGCGTCGCGTTGGCCATAAAATGATTAAGGAGAAAATTTGGGACCGATTGGTGTTTGTCCCGTGTTGATCGGACGTCTAGAAGCTTAGATATTCGCGAAAAACTTGTTGAACTTGCCAAAATACCTGCCAGCTTGCTGTATCACCTGCTACTTGGTAATGTACTGAAAACTTGCTAATGTACTGAAAGCCTGCCAAAGGTATTTACTTGCCTAAATACCGCAAAGAACTTGTTCTAAAATACTTGGTATTTACTTGCCAAAATACCGCAAAAAACTTGTTCCTTTCCGACGTTTAAATCAGACGTCTTTAGACGACTAAAGACTTTGCGAATTTGCCTTGGTCTCAGATCGTTTTGTTTTCATTGAATTGTTTGCAATTTGAGTTATGTTTAATTCTAATTCGTATTTTGTTTCACCTACCTACCATTTCTCACTTGCTTTTAGCGTCCTACCTATTAAGCGATTACACTTACGTTGAAAGAGCCGGTGGGTGGTTATAATGCAATACCCTGCACGGTGAACAGCTTGCGAGTTTTGCAGCGGTGCGATTGCTGGGGCTTATCGCTGACTGAAAAGGGTAAATACAGTAAATACAGATGGCTGTGTTGGATCCCTTTGCTTTTGCCCAACATTCAGCGTTGGAATTGTGGCTTTACCGTCCCTCTTATTAAAGTTATCTAACTTTTTGTAGCTTCGTCAGGTTAGACACGACGCGCGGGGCGATATGCATCTGGCGGCCGCACGCGGAACTACCGCGCACGGCGGCTCTGGCCGGACGACTGCACAGGTGGCAGCACCTGCCCACATTGCACACCGCCGCCGGGCCGGCCGGTGGAATTTTCCAGCCGTCGGCCGGCCGGTGGCCGGCGAATTTCTCCCGGAGGGAAGCACCTGAACCTCGCTCACAAAAGCACGTGAATCAGCCGCATTCCTGTGTGGCGCGCAATGCTGAAGAGATATGTGTGTACGCAGCTATCTCGCAAGCCCTAACAGGAAAAGCTCGCTGCAAAAACTGAGCACTTCAAATAACGCCAAATCCTACTCAAATGGCTTTCCTTCAACAGTGACCTTGAATACCGGATGAGGAAGCCTTGAAATATAAACAATAAAAATGCACATTCTTCACGGTGGTTACATGCTGACGATGTGTCTTGTTGAAATGATCATAGTACTTCAACTTGTGTGATCTATTCAAATTATCATTCGAGGTATCTATATGCCTTACGGTCAATGTGCAAATATCCAGCAAATGTCAAGACGCTAACAACTGAAATAAAAATAAAAATGCCGTACCTAAATCAGCAAGAGAATGTCGTGCATACCTAGGTAATTCTCATTAGAAATAAAAAGCATATGGTGCAAGTAATTCGTAATAAGCAGTTGTTAAAAATACCAGGCCAAGTGGATTCGATACTTTCCATATCTATGTTTTTATTTTTGTCGCTGTTGTGCATATCTCAATAAAGTTGCGTTAAATGTGCCGTGCATCTGTAGGTACTGTATGTATTTTGTAATGCACATTAGAAATAAAAGCATCTGGTGCAAAAGATTCGTAGTTAAAAGTCGTCAAAAATACCAAGCAAGGTGTATTCGATACTAGTAAAACATGAAACATTCTAATTATAAAACTTAACATCTAATCTATATTATAAATCCTAAAAAGTCCGCCGTCGGGGTTACGCCCAAAAAGGCTTATTGCGGCGCCGTCGATTGACGCAGGAGGGTGAAATTTTCACGGCTCGTGGGTCACGTCATTCAACAGGTCGTATTAAATTTTGGGCACGATGCGGCCAGGGGTGCGCCCGTGGCGCGTGCTCATGTGCGCCATAGGGTTAGCATTAGGGCCGCGACCGGCGCCGAGCAGAGGGCACGTGCTTTAGGCTCAGTTGTTCGCTTAAAAAACTGAGTGGAAAGCATCAGAGCCGGGAGGTCATTGACCTTTGACAACGAAGGCCGACACAAGGCACCGCTCGCAAGAGGATTCGCCAGTAAATACAACTAATTTGCTTTTGCAATATCTCAGCCGTTTCTGGGCCGATTTAGCTGAAACTTGGACTGTCGGTGGTAGTGTAGGGTAGGGTAGGGTAGGGTAGGGTAGTGTAAGGGCCGACACAAGGGGTAGGGTAGGGTAGGGTAGGGTAGGGTAGGGTAGGGTAGGGTAGGGTAGGGTAGGGTAGTGTAAGGGTAGGGTAGGGTAGGGTAGGGTAAGGGTAGGGTAGGGTAGGGTAGGGTAGGGTAGGGTAGTGTAAGGGTAGGGTAGGGTAGGGTAGGGTAGGGTAGGGTAGGGTAAGGTAGGGTAAGGTAGGGTAGGGTAGTAGGGTAGGGCAGGGTAGGGACTAGGGTAGGGTAGGGTAGGGTAGGGTAGGGTAGGGTAAGGTAGGGTTGGGTAGGGTAGTAGGGTAGGGTATGGTAGGGTAGAGTTAGGTAGGGTAGGGTAGGGTAGGTATAGGGTAGTAGGGTAGGGTATGGTATGGTAGGGTAGGGTAGGGTAGGGTAGTAGGATAGGGTAGGGTAGGGTAGGGTAGTAGGGTAGGGTAGGGTTGGGTAGGGTAGTAGGGTAGGGTAGGGTAGGGTATGGTAGGGTAGTAGGGTAGGGTAGGGTAGGGTAGGGTAGGGTAGGGTAGGGTAGGGGGTAGGGTAGGATAGGGAGGGTAGGGGTAGGGTAGAGGTAGGGTAGGGGTAGGGTAGGGGTAGGGTTGAGTTCAAAAAGGGCCCAACATACAAAACACTGGAACACCCCGCAACTATCACCATCCCTTACAGTTCAATTAAAAACAGCTACCCAAATCCACCCAAATAATACAGCTAAAAATACAAGTCAATCACCCAAACTAATGCACCCGTAACATAACATAAATCAAAACATACAGTTATCGCGTAAACCTGTACCTCTAGTCTAATCTAAAACATCTAATTTAAACATCTAATGTAAACGTCAAATTTACTAAAACACTAATTAATTTTAAAACATTCGATACTATTCTATAATAAAACATGCCATTGTTCTGTAACCTATCCATCAAGATTCGCGGTTGTGCATTGCATTCCTTTCTCAATAAAGTTGTGAATCTTGGAAACTGAGGTGCCATTGTGCCATCGTTACCAAGGTGATTGGTAGACAAATACAAGAAGCCAAATCAAATGTGTTCTTCATTTCACGCCGTCGTGAAATGAAATTCTCGACCAATCAAAACGTTCCGTTGTTTTGCTGATGCTGCTTGCTTAGCAAACATTCACAAGAGACGCCGAAACTACCCCATGGGGGTAGTTTGAGCTGGTGAAACTGGATTTTACCCCATGGGGCAGAATGGAAATCTACCCCATGCCGAAATTACCCCACTTGGTGAAACTGGGCCCTGGATCCCCCCGCGCTCCTTGCGAGGGGATCGAACCTGGATGGCTGGATCTAAAGGCAGGAACCTCACCCCTAGACCACACTGTTCCGCTTTTACTCGATGAAACGCTCCATCGTCACTGGCCCCTAGCCCACGACTGTCTTTTTGTTACAACGGTCACGGCAGCCCACGAAAGAGCCGGTGTGGCGTCATGCGGTTTTATTGAGTACCAAGACAGACCTGTTCATCGGACGGCGGTCGCCGGCAGCGGGCCGATTCAGACAGAGGGGGAGAGGGGGCGGAGCGGGGGAGACAGAGTGCCGGCGGTGGCACGGCGAGAGGGGCAGAGGGGAGGGCGGGGCAGGGAGGAGCAGAGACGGGCTTATTGCACAACAGCGACGAGGATCTAGGTAGATATATCTAGGTAGAAGAGGAAGGGAGGGAGGGCGGGGGAGACACCGACTGTACAGTGGAGAGGGGACCCGGCGGGCGGACGCGCAGCGACCGCCCGGTATTGCTACACACAGAGGAGACCCATTATGCTGGCACGACACTGACATCCTCCGACGTACCCGCTCGCGCACTAACGAGACAAACTCATAAAATGTGGCACCGGTCGCGTTATCAAATATACATGACGCGTTCGTTGTAAGAACCTGGCGCCGGCGTGAGCCGAGCGCGGCGACGCTACAGCTAAACACCGAAGACAAAACGTTTGGAAGCTCGCGATTATTCGACTGGGCGCTGCGCAGCGAACCTGGCTGGGCAGAGGCACACGGCGTGCCGCGGGCGGCCGCCGCGACCGCCGACCGGAATGGCAGACACTGAAAGACAAACTAGGCGACGCCTTCCAGTAAATTTGGCCTGTATGAAAATAAACGAGCATGGAGCGCCTGACGCCGGGCTGGAATGCATGTTTGTTGTACGGTGGCGGGCGGCGGAGCGCGCCCACTGGCCCATCTGAGGTCGGCTAATCACACACGGCTGCCCACGCGGCTACTGGCACGGCTATCGTTGGCACCTGGCGGCGGCGGCGCGCCGCGGCCCGACACTGTGTATGGAAGCACTATCCGTTGCACCCGTCGGCGCGGCGCGCAGGAAGCGGCAGCAGGCGGCGCCGGGCCAAGGCACCGACCGGCGCAGCGCCGCCGGAACTGAACCGAGAGCGTGGCGACCACCACCTGAGTTATAATAAACGGGCCGCTATTGACACAACAAACACACGCACACATCGCACACACGCACAAATACAATATCTTGGCTGAGTAACGCGACCGAAGCTTGGCACCTCGATGACTAGCAGTTAATGAGTACACCAGCGGCAGCGGCCGGGACGCCCCGGTCGGGGCACCGGCGCCCCGGCGCGCCCGTATGAGTATTTGACCAGGTACTCCTTGCATCAGACCTGATGCATCGCACCATAGCACACGGCAAGTGCACTCGAATAAGACACGGCTCGGCTGCCACGTCAAGCGATTGTCAAATGGCCATGACCTGGCTAATGTCATGGCTAATGTCAAATGGCCACGATATGGCACGGCCTGCCATGGCTAACTGGACTAAAGCTAATCGTCTAAGTCATTTGGCACAGCTGAAGAACTCACAGACTATATGACTATCTACATAAAATGTACACACGCACACGCAGCTAACGACAATACTCGCTATGACACAATAGAACTGACGGTCAAAAAATAATACGCTATGGAGTTTTGGCACAGGTGAGGATTTTATATCTTAGACCTCGGCCATCACAGTCCACTTAGCATTAAGTCAGTAACCAGAGACGCACGAGAAATCCTTATTGCATCGTAACAATTATTATGTCGTTGTAATTTCGATAAAACCACCGCATCTCGACGAGTTGACGCTGTCATTATGGAATAAGCCGCCGGCGCCGGCGGACCTGCCAGCCAGCTGGACGCTGATTGGCTACCACCGGCGGCCGGCTCCTCTCATTGGTCTACTCCCGGTACGGTTTGCAGTAGGCGTACCGGTGGTTGATGTGTTGGCTGTAGGAGCCCGAGTGCGAGAACCTCTTGAGACACTTTTTGCACTGATAGGGCTTCTCGCCGCTGTGCAGCCGCTTGTGCTCGGACAGATGGTGCTTGTGCTTGAACGCCTTAGGGCAGTCCTCGCATTTGTACGGCCTCATACCTGCAGGAGCGGGAACCAGCTGGTCAGAAAACAAACATTCTGCTGAAACGTTTGCTCGATTTGTCTCAGCTCAGCTACGTCGAACAGATGCTGCATTTAAGGGTGCGTTTCACGCGTAACGCTATGAGAAACGTTTTTCGTAAATATCTAGAGCATCGTTGCTTCGATTGCCTTTGTTTTTGTGTTGCGATGCTGGAATATCGTGAGCGGGCCGGTCGTGCGGGGCCGAGGCGCGGGCCGGGCCGGCGGCTCGGCCGGCCGGCCGGCGGGCGGCCTGGCCGCCGCGCGGTCACCGCGCATGCGCGCTGTGCCGATATAAGCGCGTGACCGCGACCGGGCGTGGTCAATCGGCGGGTCGCCGGGAACCGAGCACGGTCTCTGACGGTTGGCAGAGAATACACAGTATCCGAGTATATGCAGCTTTTACCTGGCTCTAACATATTTTGGCGCGGTCGGTAGGACCCATAACGTAAATCGGCTGCATATAAAATTTTAGTAAAGAAGTGGGTGCTGTGGTGTGTGCCAGTTTGGTGACTGCCGGTGCAAGCTCACACTGGAAAAGCGGACGGGACCGGTGAGTATTATACGCTTGGGCGATGAGAGGTTCTCTCTAGTAGACTTTAGTCATTAAATTTGGTAAAGCCTTGATAAACAGCCCTGATACAGCATAACCGGAAACTACCATGGATTTATCTGTCCTTTTCCTCTCTAGAGCTTCTAAGTTTAGTGGCGAGTCGGGTGAAGGGTGGCAAAAATGGTTCTGCCGATTCGAAGCTCAGACGGCGAGCATGAAAGCCGGGGACCGGCTGGCGGCTATGGCGGGTCTTTTGGACGGAGCTGCACTGGACACATTCGCGTCACTCACCGAAGAGTCACGGAAGGACTACGGCAGGGTGGTTGAAGCACTAAAAGGTCGTTTCGGTCGGCAAATAAGCACGTTGCAGGCTCACGCCGAACTCAACCGAGTTTGCCAGTCACCTTCGGAGTCTGTTGAAGACTTCTCAGCCAGGATCAGAGAGTTGAGTGGGCTAGCCCAGCCGGCTCTGCCCAGCGACCACAGCGCTATGGAGGGATTCCAGTGCGGCCGATTCATCTGTGGCCTCCGTGACACGCAATTGCAAGAGAGGTTAATCAGCCAAAACGTATCCACACTGACTGACGCGGTACGCGTTAGTAAAGAATTCGAGGAGACGAGGAAGACGATCAAGGCAGTGCGAAATCATGAGATCGACGTCATCGGGGCGGTCCGCCCGGTCGGGGGTGAAGCAACCGTGGGTCAAGCAGAAAAGACTGTGACGGACAACAACCGGCTCACAGCCATCGAAGATCACATTCGCGGGCTACACGAGTCGATATCGGCCATCACAATGGCGCCGAAGACGACAACTGATGCGAGGAAGTCTCGCCGGCTTCCCCGGTGCTACCGCTGCGGGCAGCCGGGTCATTTTCAGCGAGACTGCCCCGAGCGTAGCCGTGGTTCACCTAGCGTCAGATGCTTCGGCTGTGGAGAATTGGGTCACCTCAAGCGACACTGCCCCATTTCATTGCCGTCGACAAGTGACGGGCGCGCGCTGCCGCTCTGCTTATGTTGTGGGCAGCAGGGCCACTGGATGGCGGGGTGCCAATACTTCCAGGGTGGCAGCACTGGCGGAGGCCACTCCGAGACAAGAGCTGCTGATCCCCGGCGGGGCGCCGATGCGCATCAGGAAAACTGAACCGGACTGGAGCCGTGGGACAGGTCCCAGTCCTCTCTAAAGCGTCCCCACTCACGGCGTCGGCCGTTCGGGTCGTCATTCACGGCGCTCCGACATGGGCGCTGGTGGACACTGGTGCCGACTTCACCATGATGCGAAGAGGATTTTATGAGGGGAACCCAGCACTAAGAACAATCCGGCTCAGCCCGAGCGCGCGCAATGCTATCGGAGCGGGAGGTACCTCCCTCCAGATAGTTGGTGAATTGGAAAACCTCTCATTATGCATTGATGGAGTCAGCTTCCGATGCCCGGTAGTGACCGTGGCAGACGACCTCGTGTACGACGTGATACTAGGTCGCGACTTCACGTGCATGCATCGCACGGTCATTGACGACGACACTGGCTCATTCAAGATTGGAACCATGAGCGTTCCCCTGCCGAGCCGGGAGCAGGTTCGACCAAGACGTGCGCGAGTGCGATTACTGTCGAACGTCGTCATTCCAGCACGGTCAGAGTGCGTGGTAGCTGGTAAGCTGGAGAGAGTGGACGGCGTGCAGAGTGATGAAATGGGGGCAGCCGGAATATTCGAGCCATCAACCGTAGCGGAGCGGGAGGGACTCCTGACTCCAAGGGCTCTGGTCGTTGCAGACGACGACGGGTGCGTCTCGATCATCTTGACAAATGTTGGGTCTGAAGAAGTCCGTGTTCTCAGAGGCAGTGACCTAGGGACATTTTATGATGCTACAAACGAGAAGGACTGCGAGTACAAGTTGTGCCTGGCTACAGACGGAGGCGTTGAGGACAGTGATGATGATGACGTTGATGATGTGAGCTGCAGAACAGAAAGGCGTCAGAATACGACGGTGACAGAAGTACTTGATGTGGACGGATCTGACTTCTCAGCGGAAGGAAAGGAGAAGCTCAGAACCATTCTCAGCGAATATGCAGACATCTTCAGTCAGTATGCGGGTGATATCGGCAAGACAGATTTGCTCGAACACCACATCGACACAGGGGAGGAGGCTCCCGTGAAGCAGAGACCACGGCGGGTACCAGTTAAACTCCGCGAGCAAGTCGAGATGCAGAAGACGCAGATGATGAAAGATGGAATAATTGAAGAGAGTACAAGTCCGTGGTGCTCCCCAGTCGTCCTGGCCAGAAAGAAAGATGGAAGTTTCCGCTTCTGCGTCGATCTCCGCGCGATCAACAGCCGAACTCGCGGATGTGCGCATCCTCTGCCGAGGGTCGACGAGGCGTTGGATACCCTAGCGGGGGCAACGTGGTACACGACGCTCGACATGGCGACCGGTTACTGGCAGGTCCCGCTGGCTGCAGAGGACCGAGAAAAGACGGCGTTCTCCACGGGCAAAGGACTCCATCAGTTCAGGGTGATGGCCATGGGTCTCAAAAATGCTGGAGCCACATTCCAGCGACTCATGGAACTGGTGCTGGCGGGTCTGGACTCGAAACGCTGTTTAGTCTACCTTGATGACATCATCATATCAAGCAGATCCGAGGACGAGCACATCGCAACGCTTCGTGACGTCTTCAAGCGAGTGAGGTCGGCGAAGCTGAAGCTCAAACCAGAAAAGTGTCGCCTCGCAAAGCGCGAAGTTACGTTCCTCGGTCACCGGGTCGCAAAGGAGGGACTCCTACCGGACCCGCATAACATCCAGAAGATACTCGACTGGGCTCCACCGAAGACGGAAGATGGCATGAAGAGCTTCCTCGGATTGTGCGGATATTACAGCCGTTTTGTCCCACAATACATGGATCTCACGAAGCCGCTGAGGGAAGCCAAGGTGGTGGGTGACCACCTGACGTGGACGCCGGAAGCTGAAGCAGCTTTTGAGAGTCTGAAGCAGGCGCTGACTGCACCTCCAGTATTAGCCCTCCCTACGTTCCGTGGTACATTCGTCTTGTACACGGATGCATCCGACTCTGCAGTCGGTTCAGTGCTCGCGGAGCGGGTGGGTGACACGGAGAGAGTCATCGCCTACGACAGTAAGGTGCTGACAAAGCAACAGCGCAGATGGCCAACATATGACAAAGAACTCTGGGCCATCGTTCACGCCATCCGGCGATTCAACCAGTACACAGTTGGAGCAGAGTTCGAAGTCGTGACCGATCACAAACCACTCACGGGTGCACCGGAGTCCATCAATGTGGAACGTGACGGGACGGGAAGACGTGGCCGGTGGGCCATCGAGCTGAGCTCTTACCAGTTCCGGGTGGTTGTCCGGCCGGGCCGTGATCACGGCAATGCCGATGCGATGTCCCGGCAGCGACCGGTCAACGGCAATATCTGGACGGGTAAGCGCAGCAAGTCTTGTCCCGCCGAAACCGGTCAAGCACCCGTGCATACCGCAGCTACAAGAGCCCAAGAACCTGCTTCTGGTGAAGAGGAAGAATGTGAGGGGAAGACTCGAGGCGCAGCAGAACTTGACCAAGTCTGCGCACTGCCTACTGCGCCACCTAGTGCGAAGGGTGACCGGGCGGGACGCCTAATCACTGAAGCACCAGGACAATCGGAGTTGCAGACGGCGCAACAAGAGGACGCGGTACTCAGTGTCATGCGGAATGCCTGTCTGGGCAGTCGGGAACCACCGCACGATCACCCTCTCGCCGAGTGGGAGCTACTGCGTGGGAGCTGGACGCAGCTCGAAGTGCGGGAGGGCGTCCTCGGCATGAGGACGAAGTGGGGCTTCCGGGCCCTGGTCCCCGATTCGATGCGATCAAGGATCATGACGCTCGCCCATGACCATCCGACGTCCGCACACTTGGGACGGAGTCGAACGACGGAAAGAGTGCGACAGCGCTTCCTCTGGCCCGGCATGTTCGCGGACATCCGTCGGTACTGCAGCACGTGTGACCTTTGCCAACGGCGCCATCGCCCTGCACCGAAGAAACGGGCTCCTCTGGTGACGGAGGTCACGAGTCAACCATTCCGCAGAATTGCGATTGACATCACTGAGATGCCGGTGTCGGAGAATGGCAACCGATATGCAGTAGTCATCATGGACTACTTTTCTAAATACGTCCGAGTGTACCCAGTCAGACGGCAGGATGCCGAAACCGTAACCACGGTGCTGTTGGATTGGGTTTACGACATGGGGGTGCCAGACAGGATTCACTCGGACCAAGGAGGCCAATTTGAGTCTGCGTTGTTCCAGTGCATGTGCAAGCGACTGGGCATCCAGAAAACGCGTACAACGCCCTATCACCCTGAGAGTGATGGTATGGTAGAGCGTTTTATGAGAACACTCAAGGACATGGTCGCCAAATACGTTGACCCTCAAGGAACGA